TCTCTTATCCATATCTAACTTCCAAACTCACGATTCTTCAGACTTCTGCTACCGAGGTGGACACGCATGTCCACATGTACATATGGCCAGCCAACCTGGTCAGCAGACATGGAATAAAGGTTCTGCAAGCGCCTATGTTCTTGCTCCATTTGGCCTAAGTCAGCTGCGGCAAACACACTTAAAAAAAGTAGCTTCAAGCTTGTTTAGGGTTTAGGGATTTTGGGTTTAGGGGTTTAGGGTTTCACGCCCGCTTGAAGCGTGAGTGACTGGGAGTGCGGCGTGCGCGTTTGAAAACCAAGGAGAAAGTCAATGCTACATGCCCAAAACACTACGGGCAAATATGACCCACTGACCAAGTAGTTGTAGTGGTCCCTACAGAAACCCTCACTACAAACAATGGTCCCTATAACCCACTCCCTCGTTTCCTGCTGAGCACACAGGCGTTAATCCTCAACTCTCAGCAAACATCGATAAAGTCACATACCTACAGCAAGAACTCGATTTTGCTGGAGTGACAATCTTAAGTGGATCCTGCGGAGTATATACCTCCAATAATCTCAGCATCTGCTGTTAACTTCTTCAAGGTGTTGGTAGTTACGAGAGGGGCTAAAATGCAAGGCTGTGAATTAGGCTTCTATGGACTCAAAAGTAAGCCCCTGAATCCTTGACCCCTCAACAACAAATATGTCAACCCACATCTGAAACTCTAGACCCAAAATTGCTCAACGCTAGACCCTAAACCCTTAATCATAAAACCCTCAACCAATTAAACCCAAGGCCAAAAGGCTGAATCCCTCAAGTCCGAACCCCCGCAGCCGCCTGGTCAATGGAGAAGAATACGGCTGGACCATTTACCTGGGCTCTTGTTTCAGGGCTTCCCCTTCTATACGCCCCCCGGTACTACCTGCCACGTATTCTTTGGAAGGTTTGGGGTTTAGGTTTTCCTGCATGGGTTCCCATGGTACCCCACCCAAGGTTCCCTCTTACTTGAGGTTGTGGACGATTAGGGCTATTCAACGGGTTCGTCATAATTGAGCTTATGCATAACTAGGGCAAGTTAAGGCTACTTTGAGAGTGTAGCACAGCCTTGACATGAGCACCTGCGTTTTACATTAAGCTTAATTCAGCCAAAACCACTACATCACAGACCTTAAACCCTAAATCCTACACTCTGAACCTCAGACCGTAAACCACAAATGGCAAACCCCCAAAACCATACTATGCCCTAAATCCCACATGAAGTACCTTAAGCTCCTAAACCCCGAACAACGTCCAAGTTACAGCCAGAGCCGACTCGCGGGCAGAAGCCTCAAAGTTCAAATGGCTTTTAGGACTGAGAGGGAGCCAGGCGGTTAGGGAGAGGGCCTCCACAGGATTGGTTTGGGCTGATAGTGTCAGACGTTTTACGGAGATAACATCACCGGGATTCCAGGAGGCACCCTCCAGAGGGTTTCACATTTGAGCGTTTGAGACTTGGGGTTGAGGGTTCTTGGTTTCAGGGATTCCAGACGTCCAGCTCCACTACAAAATTGCGCGGTGTACCATCTTCTTAGACAGCGCGAAGAGCAAAACCCATGAAAAACGTTAGTATTTGCAGAGTTTGGCGCGTAGCGTTAAGATTTGAACTGTCAGCCCCAAGAATGTGTTTACGAACACTGCGTCCTCCGACTCTCCAAAGTAACTACCTGCGATGAAGCCTCTTCAACGATGGGCAAGGAATTGGAAAGTGTTGAATAGTGGTAAAACGGATCTGGATAATACAAATAACACTAGACAACAACATGAAAAATGCTACGAAGCTTGCGTTTCGGCGCTGCGTTTCCACGATTTGCTGGCGTAATATAGGCGGCGAATAGTTCCACATATCATTCCCTCGTATATTGTTTAAGTACGACTTGGTTGCTCCTTGAGGTCTGACTAGAGGTGAAATTATTAGCAGCATCATCAAAGTGGCAAAGTGCAAAAGTTGAGGGATATCACCACCAAAGTAAACTACACCCAACCCTGATTCTAACTAAATGGGCAAAAACAAGAAGCTTGAAAGGCCGGTTGTCACAGAACCTTTGGGGGTTGTCAAATCGAAGCAGGGATTGGGCCGAACCCAAAGCAATGCTTCCAGCGATCTTAAATAGGGTTAAGGTTTAGGGGCGAGTAATCCCAATTTCAACCCTGCTGTAGAATGCAAAGGTATCTGTTGACAAGCAGACTCTGCAACAGCTTGCAAAGCCAGGCTTCCCCAAACCGCATGATAACAATTCCTGAAGGCAGCTACATAGGTCGCTGTCATCCTGGGGAGCTGTGTCATCCCTATAGAATCCAATGCAGCTTCCCAGAAGATAGGTCCCACACCATGCACTGGACCAGCTCCTGTGCGAGGGTCAGGGCAGGCTTAAAACCTAGCATCGGGGAAATACACTTCAAGCAAAGGATTCAGGTCTAGAAACCAAGAAGTGGAAAGGTATGGACACCTTCCTGCCGGTAAAAGTTTTGCAACTGAATGCCCCCAGCACCAGGGTATGAGCATAAACAAAATCTGCAGGTGTGCGGTAGGCAGGCGTGTTTGACTGACAGGGTGAGACCATGCACGTTAACGGGCGCTGTTGGCCGTAGATCCCTTTCGGCTGCACTTGTGGCTGAGCTAGAGGGTAGAAAGACTCATAAAGAAACAGTCGAAGCGCCACATTTCTTGACGTAAAGCGGGCCCTAGAATGAGACGAATGGTGGTTCGCATCTCTTGGTTTCGTGGAATAGGGGCAGGCAATCTGCAGCATGCGGGAAGCGGAGCACTCAACACTACTACTCTACAACTCTTGACAAACTCTATAGACCCTGCCTATACGAGTTACCTCTTGTTGAGAAAGCCCACACGTCAAACCCTTTTGTTTGATAAACTCTTACGCATCTTCAAAAAACTAGCCATAATGTAGGCGGGACTAAATGTTCAGTGGCCGCATGCCAAAGGTACCCCAGCAAGGGACATGGAAGTTTCTCAAAATTAGGGGTGCCCTTTTGCGGGTTTCAATAATAAGTACAATAGTGGACCATGGTATTTGGGGGTCTATATTGGGGTCCGCCTATTTAAGGAAACTACCAGATCATCTTCACAACCTACCAAATCACTGCAGAGGCCGAAGACCAGTCTGCAAAGAGGCGCTTCAGGTGCAGGCGCTTGACTTACTGGTACTTTAGTAAGAGTGAAGGAGAGTGTTCCCCACAATAACCCCATTTGCTCGAAAATCATGGCCCCTGTATGTACCTATATTCACTCCCCCACCCCGTCTTTAGCACCAGTATGTTGAATTCATGCAAGAGCGGCTGGAGAAGTATGAGTTCTCAGAATTAAGGCAGTCTAAAACCATCCTTCTAGCTTCCCAAGCCCATTAGATCCAAAACCTACACTGTAAAGTCATCCCTTTCTCCAAGACTGCATGCTTCAAAACTGGGCAGGCGGGACGTTCCAAGGACTCGCCTGTTTGGAAGAGTTTAAAGTTTCGGGTTGGTGAGGCAACAACCCCTAAAGTTACTGGTTCTTAGTAGGGAATAAGGGAATATGTTCTATCAGGATTATGTAGGGATCATTTTCCCTTATGCCCTACTAAGAACCAGTAAGTAAAAGAATTTGGCACCTCTGCCCGAAGGTGTTGCAGCAGTTTTCTAGCGCTTACATATGGAAGATAATTTCCGGGTTATTTGGACATTGACCCGCCAAGCATGAATGGTACAATGCAGGCATTTGGCTGTTCGGCAGCACTGTGCTTCAAATTGCTAGTACTTATGAAAAGCTATACAAAAGCAGCTTCGGGGAGAGGCAGCTATACAATGGGCCCTGCCCCAACCCATTTACAGTCTATTTTAGGGATCGTGTTAAGGGCTCCGCATAGTTACATTCTGACTATTATCCAGCTGCTAACGAGCTGGGGCAGTATCCAAGCTATACAGAATGCAGCATTACAAGAAGCCAGCCAGGCGAGATGACTTCTTACATCCCACCTCGGAACCTGAAACATGAGTCCAACTAAGGAGACCACCATCCACCCTGACAAGGTATTAAGTCTAGGATCTGGTCATTCCAGGGTTATTTTGTCATCTACTTGCCCAACTGGCTTTTGGAATTCCATCAGCTCACGCTGAGAGCATCAGAGGGTCTTTTTCGTGCTCGTCTCCCTGCCGGCCTCTGACAGCGACGGTAAAAAACAACAGCTGACATGTTATTAGATAAAATTTAGGCCGATAGTTGGAAGCCTCTAAGGGGTTCAGCAATGAACCCTAGACCTTGGCTCAGTAATCACAGCTCTGTTCTTATAGCGCCTCATCATCTGACTGGATGCACTGAGCTTGGTGTATCAACCTTAGCTGTCCAGCATGTGGGGATGTGTTGGGATTATACATCGCAGCGTTCAGGATTTGGGTTGCGTTCACCGCCTCGCTGGTGTCAAGCATGTAAGTTGTTCACGGTTTTTTTTTGTTCATACTGGCATACGCGTTTGCTCCAAAACGTCAAAAATTACCCACCGAAGAGGTAAGAAACTGATGAAACTGATGCTTCACCACATCCGCGATCCAGCGAACCATCACCTTTCGGGCCAAAAAACTCACCATACTGACAATTGGCCATTTTGAGCTACCTGGACACCCAAAGTAACCAGAATAATTGCCTCTTTGATCTTTTGCGGTTTCGGGTGACTTTGTTTCTCGTACTTTTGTTGCCCAGGTAACGATTGTGAACTAGCGTTGAATTTAGGTCATTTGAGATCACTATAAGTAATTCTATCATACAACTTGTTTATCCAGCATCTATCAATACTGTCGACCGTCATGTACGGAGAAACGACGGTCTTTGTGCTGCATGGGCCCACATACACCAGCTAATCACCTTCCTTTAATGCTGACAAGTCATACCTCAAACCCCAAGGACGGCCCTGTTCCTCAAACCACCAAGCCCGATGTCCCTATAGCTCGAGACCCTTCCCAAAGCAATACCAATCTGGAAAACCCTCTGCCTCCGTCACGTGCCTGTTGACGTGCCGGAAGCCCACTGTCTTCCTAATGATGCCCTTAACCTGGGTTGCTCACAAGATTGCTTCTGGCAGGATGCAGAGGTTTAGGTACAGGCCTTTGAGCTCACTCTCGGAGTACAGGTCGGAAGACTGAGCCCGGCCCATTCAAGGATAAGAGGAATGCCATGGGAGCTTCTGGACAGTATTCTCACGGTGGGTAGTCATCTTTGGGTTTCAGTGGGTGGCTGGTGAGATCCTAGGATAGGTTTCAGGCGTGCACAGGGGATCAACAGTGGGAGTATCCTCGGCTTTCAATGATCACGCCTGATCGGCATGGCATGTACAAAAATGTCACGTAGAAAGCGTGTTCAACAATGATCGAATCACCTTTGTCTCATCTGCCTTCTTCCAAGCACCCGCATGCTCCGAGTCGACTCGGCTCAATGACATTGTGATCTCCTGAATGCCCTTTTCGCCCAAAGCAATCTCTCTCTGAATAGATATCATTGCGGACTCGGGCATCACGATTGTAACAGGTATATTCTGATCAGAGGCCACGAACTGCTCATAGACAGTCCATATTCTGTTCAAATACATTGGTTTGTGCCATGTGTCTAAGATTGCAACCATCTGCCCACTTCGTTTGAGGTTTTCCTCAAAAATCGTCTCGAGGTGTTCACTGCCCGAAGCAGATTCTTCCACGATAATTCTGTACTGATTGTTCACCTGAAGTACAAGCTTAGACCCTGCTTGGTGAGATATTCAGCAAAACCAAGACATCAAAGCATTCTGCTTGCACGCAAGGCACAAAGAAGCACATGAAAAAGAAGATCTTCTCTGCAGGAGCTGTGGGTGCACTGTGGCGGTACATCCGCAGCGCGCTTTGCACTTGTGAAAGGTGGTATCCCCAAACCCAAGACAGGAAGTGCGTTTGCGGATGTCTCTCATTCTTAGGTATCCAGTCCACAAGTGCACAACCCATCCTGCCGTCCCGTGGGCACTGCACCTGCTTCCTTGGCTGTTCCGCAATCTCTAGCAAAAAACGTGTCGGGTTTAGCAGGGCTTAACAAACAGAACCAAGCACCCAAACCCTGAAGCCCAGCCAGGCTTCCCAATCGGATCTTCGCCCAGCCAAAAGCCGGTCTTCATGTCATGGAACGTCGGGTCTCTCATGCCGGTACGCTGCAACGCCAAACTTGTGAAGTCCTCTCAGGAAGGGGATGAACAATCACAAAAACCGCAGCAGCATACTTACAATGACAGAATGCATATTCACCATTCGCCTGTACTAACTAACAATAATCGCAACCATAATCGCCATCAGCCGGAAGACGATACCAGCAACACATGAGATAAGTGAAATCCTCGGAGAGGAGGTATCTCATGCTGACTCCCGCACATTTGCTCTGACGCCCTCGCATTGCTGCCACCTCCTTCGCCACCTCGGCCTTTCCGAAAGGGCATAGGGATTCCAAAGTCACCTAATTCAGCTTTGGGTTTAGGGCTTCGTGCTGTAAATTCAAGGAAAGTTACCAAGCTTATCTCATGGACATATTGCATCACGCCAAGGAACCTGGATTTAGACCATGTTCAGCAACCTGGTATAAGTTAAGCAGCAAGCCAAATCATATGAAGCAACTGGAGGTATTTCTTAAGTCATATGGAGGAACTCAACTACGAGGTGCCGGCAATACCGTACGCTAGGTCTGCGCTAGGAACCTGATATTAGCTGAAGTACATCCTACCTGACATGCAAAGCTAGGCTTCAATAATTCAATTCAAAACAGATCCTCAAAGAACGCGCAGGTACTAAAAAAGGCTACCTGTCGAACAGTATTCTGAACCTCCTACAAGCTTCAAGTTGCCTCAGGCTGGCAGAGTTGAAGGTGAATGTCTCACCTGGACCCTTGGATGTAATTCCTTTATGGGGCTTGATATGGTTCTCTGGGTAGAAGGAATCTAAGCAAGAGCTTTGCAGCAGGCTGTACAGCTAGGTCTTCAAGCTCCGCGCCTTGTCAACGCCGAGCTTCTCCAGGAGGATTGAAAACTCGGCAACTGTGCCAGGCAGTTCCGTCCAGAGGTCATCATACATCCGGACCTGGCGCACTACGCGTAGGGTCTATGGCTATGGTTTTGAGATTTGGGGTTCAGGGGGGTTACAAAAGATTCAGAAACATACGTACAGGGGGATATTGCCAGCCAGGCGACAAGCTGGCCTGGTTGTTCAAGCATCTTCTAGTGCATAGCAGCTTGAACTACACCAGGAACCCAACACTAAATAGTCCCTATGTAACCCATTATACTAGTTTCCATGTCCTTTTCCATTCCTAAACCCTAAACCCTAGCAGTTTTCATGCTCTTTTCCATCCAACTAAGGCCTGTGTACACCAAACTTCTGGGCCACCAAACCCAAAGCTCCCGAAGCTCTCCAAAACCTACACCCAAACTCTGGGGACCTCCGAGACTCTCCACCTGAACCTCAAAGCCAAATCTCTGAAGCATGAAGTTTTGAGCCTAAATGCACCTAGACTTTAGTCCGGAACCTCGGACCCTGAATCCTAAACCTAGAATCATTAAACAAGGTTTCACACATAGATGTGTATGTATATATCTGTATATATGTCCTCTACATAGCCCTTGTAAACCCCTTAAGAGGGCCTTATAAAGGCATAGACTCCCGACCGCAGGGCCTTGGTCCGCTGGATCTCCGCATAAAGCTTCGCTGCACGGCGACTGCGCCACCAACCCACCTGGGTTCACCATGTGGAGAGGTTTCATGAAATTAGCGGAAACATTTTGGGGTGAAGATAGCATCTGGAGGTTAGGGGTGAGGCTTCAAGAATTGGGTTTCGTCTTGGCAGGGCCGAGAGCTTTGGCTTCAGGACTGGAAGCTCACAGTTTGGGGTTTAGTGTAGTGAGTGTAGTGTTTCAGGTGGGCACACTGTAAACCACTGATGTCTGCTTCTGAGGATTACAGCAAGGTAAGGAACAGTTTGGAGGCTCTAGGTAGGTATGCTACATGTAACAAGCACCTGAGGGGTGGGACGCCGATAGAACTAGGGTGGATGGAGGAAATCATGAGCCGGCTTATATACCCCTAGGGAATTGCAGCATTATGTTCCTAAGTGGCACAGCCATTCTCATCTAGAGTACGTATGTTTTGATCATCCTTCTTGAAACTCGGCTATTCCAGAGACCTATACTTCTGAGCTGCAGCTCCCTGAGTCGGCTGTATACATGCACTGCACCGGGATAACATGTAGGACCACGTGCAAACCAATATGACCATCATAGGGTGCCATTATGTATGCGGAACGGTAACTGCAAGGCATTATAGTCTGCAAACTTCGTTATATGATAGTTTCCCTAGATAGGGGGACCCCAACATGGACACCAAAATGCAACAGTCCTTATTCTCGGGACCCCAAAAAGGATACCCCTAATTTTAAAGGAAATCCCCACATCTTGAGTGCTCAGCTTTCAAGGCTTCAGATCTACAGGACGCCGGAATTCTAAACCCTAAACCCTAAATTGGAAGGCTCCAGGACTCATTGGCCTTGGCGGACTTAGGGATGAGGATTGCTGGTTTGAAGGGAATGGACAAGAAAATGGAAACCAAAGGGATTATATAAATTCTATATGGGGATTATAGGGAATATGTTGGGGTTATATGGGGATAATGGAAAAGAAAATGGAAACTACTATCTAGAGATTAGGGCTTTAGCGAGAATAGCCCTTATTTGTCTTTGTTGAGGGGCATTCTTTACCTCCTGTTGGCGACCAAATATAAGGTTCAGCTTCAAGTTCTGGGAGATTTGAGCTCCGGATGTGTGGGTTCAGGCTTCAACTTCAGTAGCTGGGGCTCAGGGACCAAGCCATCACTGCCATTCCTGGGAAAAGATCTGACTGATTCCGATTGAGCTGAAGGTCTCAGTGCTTCTTATCCGGTGTCGTACGAAAGAAATTGTATGAATGGGGTCAGAAGCGATAGAAATCCGTAAAAAATATCTATATATATATATGTATACATCCGCTATGGAACCCCAGTGTCCATGTCATTCGCCATTTCTTTTGCATGTGATGCTCCATTGTTTTTAAACCGGGATCCCTAGGGAAACTAGTTTCATTGATTGAACTTCGCCGAGAAACTCCGACACGCAACGCAATGAAGAGGGACACAATGCTGATAATGATAACTGGCCAGGGCCAATGCTCGCAGTCATCGTCGTACCTGGCCCAAGGATCGTTTAAGTGAATGGTGAAACCAGAAATCGCTGATAGCAATTGTGTCTTATCTAAGCTTCGGTTTTGTTGACAGTGCAAACGCTCTGCTAAATTTCAATCATCTAGAAACAGCATGAGTGGAAACGTGCATGCAGCGCGGCATTCCAGTTCGTCAAAGTTGTTGGAATACGTGCCAAATTCACACTCTCGGCAGCTGCTGCGATCGGAGGTGGGAGCCCAGCCCTTCGGACATTCCTCACATCTGGACTCACCAGCTGCTGCATACTCACCATGCTGGCAAGGGGTGCAGATGCCAGAAGCAGCTTGGAAACCGGCTTGACATGGGGGCTGCGAGAACTTGTCTCCAACATGGAAAAGCTCGTTCATGTCAGCATTTTGTATACCCAGAGCCTGCATCGACACAGACCTCGGCAAGCGATAGAGCGCCGGCGTGAAACGTACACGTCTCAGAACTGCAGCAAACTGGAACATGAACCTGTCGTCTTTCAAGGCGGTCATCTTCCACGAGTCCACGGGCTGACTGAAGGCAACCGCAGCGTAGAACATGTAACTTGTGTCCTGTACAGATGACATATCCCGCGAACCCAGTGGTTGATTGAATGAAGAGGCGTGTCGAAACATGGCGCGCATAGTCCTTACGGCTGCCGTGTTCCATCCTCCTATAGGTTGATTGAAAGCGCGGGCCCCATCAAACATACCCTTCATATCTGTGACTCGAGCGGTGTTCCATGACAAGATCTCCTGGTTGAAGGATACAGCGTCGTGGAACATGTAGCTGAAGTCCTCGACGAAGGATGTGTCCCATCCACTGATGGATTGGTTGAAGGCACGGGCTCGCTCAAACATTCCGCTCATATCTGTCACCGCTGAAGTATCCCAGTTAGCAACGGACTGGTTAAAAACAGGACAGTCAGAGAACATTCCTCTCATGTCTCTCACAGCTGATGTGTTCCAGGAAGATATCCACTGATCAAACACAAATTCTTTTTGAAACATGAAGCTCATGTCAGTCACGAGTGATGTGTGCCAGGGCCCGATCGGTTTGTTGAAAGAGACTGCACCAGCAAACATACCTCGCATGCTTGATACTAATGACGTGTTCCATGAGTCGAGGCGTTGGTTGAAGGCGTAAGCCCTCCGGAACATAGAGCTCATGTCTACAACGGCAGATGTATTCCAGCTGTCGAGGGGCTGGTTGAAAACCACCGCAGCATGAAACATGCTTGTCATTTTCACAACTGCTGATGTGCTCCAGGAGCATAGTGCCTGGTCAAAGGCAGCTGCATCGCGAAACATGGAAGCCATGTTTGTTACAGCTGATGTGTTCCACGACCGAATGGGCTGATTGAATGTTTTGGCACGCTGGAACATGCTTTGCATGTCCGTCACAGCTGAGGTCGTCCAGGATCCAACCGGTTGGTTGAAAGCGCGAGCATCATAGAACATCCCAGACATGTCTGTAACGGACGATGTCTTCCAGGAAGCAAGCGGCTGATTGAATTCGACTGCCGACATGAACATGCCCCCCATACTTGTTACCGCGGACGTGTTCCAGTGACAAATGGGTTGGTTGAAGCGAGTCGCCCGCGCAAACATCACGTCCATTCTTCGCACCTTTGACACATCCCAGGAGCCCACAGGCTGATTGAAAGAACTAGCGGAAAAGAACATTCCCAGCATGCTGGTGACGGCTGACGTATCCCATGAACCGATATATTGATCAAAGGCAGAAGCCTGAAAAAACATAATGGTCATGTCTGTTACTGCCGATGTGGTCCATGAACCTATTGGCTGGTCAAATTTGGAAGCATCGTGGAAAATCCCGCTCATGTCTGTAACTCTGGCTGTCGTCCAGGAACCAATAGGCTGATTGAACTCGGACGCATTGTAAAACATGCTCCGCATAGTTGTTACAGAAGAGGTGTTCCATGCACCGATGGACTCATTGAATGCGTGAGCATAGCCGAACATCCAACTCATGTCTGTAACTCTGGCTGTCGTCCAGGAACCAATAGGCTGATTGAACACGGACGCATTGTAAAACATGCTACGCATAGTTGTTACAGAAGAGGTGTTCCATGCACCGATGGACTGATTGAATGCCTGAGCATTGCGGAACATCCCACTCATGTCTGTAACTCTGGCAGTTGTCCAGGAACCAATAGGCTGATTGAACACGGACGCATTGCGAAACATGCCACGCATAGTTGTTACTGAGGAGGTGTTCCATGCACCAATGGGCTGATTGAACGAGTGGGCGTCGCGAAACATTCCCTCCATCGAGGTCACACATGATGTGTTCCAGGAGTTGACGGTCTGATCAAACCGACTAGCTCCTGCAAACATATGGCTCATGTCAGTGACAGACGATGTTATCCACGCGCCAATGGGCTGATCAAAGGCAGTGGCACTGGCAAACATATGACTCATGTTGATCACCTGGGCTGCCATACCATCCTTGGAATAAGCCTAGCCTTACAAGGTTTCAGCTACCTAGGGAAACCCGAAAAGTGAGAGCCCCAAGTCTTCAGAGCCCAGACATTGGCATGGAAGTCACGGCCGTGGTATTCCAATAGCGGAGATCTTCGTTGAAGAGCGGAAGGTCCTCCAAGCAGTCTGGGCACAGGCGGGGGCTTTAGAGTTCTAGTAGTCTAGAGTCCTGGGCTTGAGTGTTGAGAACTTGAGGGAAAAAAATCCCAAAGTCCTCACTTTGAAATACCTTGAGGAGATGTTGGGGCTGTGCAAGCAAAATTCAACCGCCAAAACTAACCAAGTCCCACTTGCACCACAGAGACCATTGTCCTCTTCATGGGTGGCCATTTTTCTGCAGGAGTCTCAGCCATCTGGGAGGCTTCTCTAAAGGGCTGCTAATATGCACCGTCCCACAACAATGGAACTGCACGTGTCCCCTTGTACTACCACACACGTGGGGGAACATGCAATCTTCTTATGGCCGTCCTTGAAGAGCCTGCTCATGTTGTTCACAGCAGAGACATCCCACTTGGAGATGTGGCCGTAGGTTGCTACGAGGTCTCGCCTTCCTGTTCCAGACACTTTGGTGCATGTGAAGACTTCTGGTTCCATCGGTTCAGCCAGACAAACTAGTTGTTGCGAGATTTCCAAACCTGATAAGAACATGTTTTGACCTTGTCTCTGGAAACCACCATTTGGGTGCTGACCGGGGAGGACAAAGCAGAGCCACACAGCATCTAATAACAACAATTTGCCACGCCGAAACCAGATTTGGTTGGGAAAAACAATGGACAAAAAGGAGGATGAAGAAATGATCACACTTCGCCATTACCTGTTTGGCGTCAGGGCTGAAGGTTTAGCAAATGTGTTGTGTGTAGCCAATCATTGCTTGGAACTCTGAGGCTGGCATCTTAACCAACCAGTACTGTGGGCGCCCCTACTTTGCTGTACTGATCCTCAAAAATAATCTGAATAGTACTACGAACCATAGAGCTATTACAAATAACAACCGCAATGATAAGAAACAACAATGGCATTGGGCCTTCTTGAAGTTTTCAGGGGCAGTCCCAGGGAATCCTGCAACTCAGTTGAGGCTAGGGCTCCCGCAGAATCCATCTAGCAAAAAAATAGTCACCTGGCTGACATCAAAACCTGAAAAATCCAGATGAAAAACGGTAGCAAGAATCATGGCCCTATATGTAAGAACCCCCTTGACATTCCAAACCTCTCACGTCAACACCTCTTCAACCCAGGCTTCACGCCAAGCCCTGCTTCCAAGCCTCAAAACCCCCAAAATGGTAGCTTCCATTTCTCCATTCCCCGTATACAACCCCAATATGCTACAGTAGTTTCCATTTTCTTTTCTGTTCTCCCACAACTTTAGATCCATACTCGCAGGATGCTGGGCTATCAACCCACCATTTCCCGGGCTTATAAAGTCAAGGGGCTTTAGGGGGGACCCTTAATACTTAATAGGGACCCTTGTAGCTTAGTGGGGGTAATAGGGGTACTACCTGGTTATATAAGGGGTATACAAGGCCTATATAAGGGCTATATAAGGTATCCGGATTAGGGGTCCCTTCTAGGGGTCCCTCCTAATAACCCTTGATAAAGGGCCTGGTACCTTGGCCCCTCGCCCGCAAATAAGTGACCCCAAGATTTGGCTGTGAAGGAGCCCTCACGTATTCCTGCTGTCCCTCTATTTACATGGTGCAACCCCAGCTATGAGTGGAGGTTGTCCAGTAGGCAACATGGGCAGGGAGCACATATTCATCAATCAGGCGTCATCAGTGTTGGAATCTGTTGAAAGTTATTGTTGGGTGCGTGGTCGCTGAATCACGAGTAATCCGTACAGAATCGTGCTCAAAATCGAAAATCGCAAGGGGGTACTGCATATTGAAATTGCTTAGCTACCCACATCTTCAGAACAGCACCACTGCAAACCCTTAGCCCTGAACCTCAAACCTCCAGGCCCCAGAAATGGCCTGCCGCACCCTTGGACCAGGCGACTACGGCTTTCCGTAGCTCGTGCCTCATACGTCGAGCATTGAAGGACTTTGAATTGTGGAGCTTAGGCTGTGGGATCGTTGCAGTATAGGGATCACAATGGTTTCCAGTCTGGGACAGAAAAAGGACCGGAATCCTGGCAGATCCCGACCTTGTCCAAGGAAACAGCCCTAGGTCTAACTAGGAGGAATCCTGGTGATAGCAACGCTTCCAGGGGTATCCAGCAGAGAACCCAACCAAAGAGAGAAGCCGGTACTTGTACTTGACATCAACTTGCAGGTTGTCTGGTTCATTCTTTAGGGTTTAGGATTTAGGGACCACTTCTTAGTGCGATTACAGGTTCTAATTCGTTGTGAGAAAATCCTGATTGATGTAACTTGTCCGATGCCCCTTATCCATCCAGGAGTTGGAGGTCGAGAGGGCCTCAACCCCAAAACTGGATGTACAGTTCCTCTACCTCGGCACACTGGCTTGTAGAAGATCATCTTGAAAAAGGCTGTAGAACGGTGCCTCCAAACTAAGATGTCACTCTTAACACTACTTATGAAATTTCCCTAATGAGATTAGAAGACTGCATTTGGCGTTCATCCACCTCCTTTCAAATCTTCCACGGCTTTCTGTCCTACTCCCTATAGGTACCGATAGAACACTCTAACCCCCACTAGGGTTTATGGCTTAGGATTTTTTAAGCGGTTTAGCCCTAAACCCCTAAATTCTTACCCAAAGGCCTGAACCCCCTACCCGAAGCCTTTGCGTAGGCTCACCCTCGTCCTGCACAAAGCGACATCTGCAAATTCCATCAATCAAGAAGTACTGCTGCTCTTGGACAGGACCCCTAACCCTGTTGGGCTGCCAAACCTAAGACAACCTTGAGGCAAAGAAAACACAAGAAAGAGCGCTTACTGTAAGGTGCCTATGTACTTGGGAGGTCATCATAATCCCTTGTAAGATAATTTGAGCGGCACATCCCCACCTCTTTCGAGACGTGGTGCAAGGTATGAGAGGTAAAGTGTCTAGCT